CATAAAAACTCACGATCTGAATACCCGCACGAGTCGAACAAGATTTTCGATGCCGTTGAGATCACTCTGGTAGATTGAAACTCATATTTCTCAATCATGTTCAAATGTCAAAATTAAAGATTGAAATATGTACAAACCTGGGCGTGATTCAGTTGGCACTCGTGTACGTGATACTCCCCATCTTCCATACGAATTGGCTTTGCCGACCAAAAAGGGAGCTAAAGGTACTCCGTTCTTGTCTCTGCTGAAGGCCTTATCGGCTCGCAAACCATCTCCGACAAATAGTACTAAGCGCTTGGCTGGAGGTCCTGTTGATATTTCTACAGGCTGCATGCCGTGTGTGAGTGGTGATGTAAAGTATATATCGAATATAGACGCCAGGCATAACAAATGAAAGATGACACCAACCAGGATGAGAACTCGAGAAGCAGAACGCTCATCATTGGTGAATAGGCTAGAAGTAAAACGTCTACTCATTCTATTATATATCAATCCGTACTAGACTTATATGTGTGAGGTTAGGAATGTGACAATTGTTTTTGGTAAACACTTGCATTTGTTTTAGGTGATCGGAGGGGTGTCGGACGATTAGTGATCTGCACTGTCAACTAAAAGGTATGCATTTCAAATAAAGTATGTGCACGTATCTCAGTGGTGTATTCTTATACTTGAACACGGCCATTAAATATTAAAAGAAGGCCCGAACATCAAAACACAGATCATTGTTAAAAAAAATCACTTTCTCAAATGACTGACAAATGTCAATATGATTCGCTAACAAAGCATCAGGAACTTGGTAACCTCAATTTACTCAGAAACTCAAGGGCGTCACTGCGCCTTAGGCGTCACAGTACGCCTAAGCCCTGAAGAAGGGCTGCGGCGCTGGCGCTCAGCCGCACACGCCCTCGGCCTCAGGGCCTCAGCCCTCAGGGCCAGGGCGCCAGGTCCTACGCCTGACTACTAGTAGTAGAGAGAGGGCCTACATATGTACATTGTATACAAGAAAATATATTGTCAACTGTCCAAACTCCAATGGCACGCCGAGAAGAAAAACTGCCGACGACTCACGAGACATATGGCTCGATTCGCGAGTCTCCAGGATTTGGGAGTTAGGACTGAGGACTTTTGGGTGTAGGGTTTACAATTTAAAAGGGTTTTAGTGTTAGTGGTTTTACATAGCCCCTTGAATAATCAACATTTAGGGTTAGGTTTTAGGGTTTAAGTAACCACTCCTTGTCTGACGTCAGCTGACGTCAGAATGCCACTCTCCAGAGTCCAGAGCCGAGCATCTTGTTCATATTTAGCCTCAACTTCTCTTGTTGTGTGAACATTTTAGATGAGGCTAGGTTTTTGTTACGTTCATAGCCTCTTTTCTCGTTTTTTTGCTGGCCTCAAAGGCATGTCTTCTTAGCAAACTAGTTTCCGCAAGACGTTTATCATGAAGAAGCATACAAGATTTTAATATTTATTAAGATAACATAAAGCATATTTACAATTATCATGAAGCATACAAGAAGATTACAATGTACAAGACTACAAGCCCTTAGCCATAGCCTTCTGTTCGATTTTCAGAGAGCTATGCCTTAGCCCGCTTGGGCCCTTCCCCCTTAGACCTTCGCGACTTGCCACACAGCCCACACAACATGTGTCTCAAGTCTCAAGTCTCAAGTCTCAACTCCCACTGTCCCAGACTTCCACACGGCCACAACTTCCACAAGGCCACAACAGTCTCAAACTTTTAATATTTAACACCCCATCCATGTACCAAGAGGAATAAATCGGGCCGAAAATTAAGAACCGTTCCTGACTAGTTACATCTGGGATTGTATTTATTCCCAATATTTTTTTTGGCATATTTCAGATTAAATATTTTGTAAGTGATCTGCGAAGGCGTCAAGGTCGCAGTACAAGTAGAACACCTTCCATGCGTAGGAGTTTAACACTACATCGAAATCCTCCAAAACGCGATCATTGGGTCTAAATAAGCATAATTAGTAAAGTTTCAATGTTGTCACGTACAAATATTGTTCAAAAAATATCGTATATGCATTCTTATAACCGTAATGCAAGCTACAGCTGCTAAAATCGAGCAAAAGTGTATTCACATCATCTGATGTGCATTGCCATCGAGTGCACTGAGTCTTGCCCTGTGGGGAATGTATTATTTAGAGGGCTATGGAACAAATGTATTTAAAATTAGGGGGTCTTTAGAACGGGTTCGGATTTATTATTTAAAAAAAAATCAAAAAAGAATCCGAACATAAATCCGAACGAGGGCAAATTTTCGAAGGCATCAATTTCTAAAGAAAATTATACGGGATTTGTATTTTTGTACGTAAACTCACTATTGCGGTTTAAATGCGTACTTGTTTCTAGGATATGCGTTCATGATTGGTTAATACGTAAACGATTTTTTCCCCATTTTTTAAAGAAATAGTCGAAAATTTATCTTTGACATTGTTTTTATTTAAGAAATAAAGACAGGTTCACCCCCCTTAAAAAATCGGAACATAAATCCAAAAAAAAATCCAAGCTCCTTATAAAAAAGACACCCCCTTAGTGGAGAAATCTTGAAACCACCATAAATATAGCCACCTAAACACGCCACCTACGATTCTAGCCACCTACACACGCCACCACAACTAGTGCAACCTCTAGTCATGAACTCATTGAGGCGTTCTCATTTGTTGTTGTAAAAAAGAAAGAAAAAAATAACAAAAGAGGATCAAAATGAATATTTTAGCTTTACGTTTGATTTGATTAAATAATAGCTTCATAACAAAGATCAGGGCCAATAGATTTTCTTGCTGATGACGGTATACAAACAGAGTATTTATGGGCGTTATTATTTTTTGTATCGAATAGTTAGACTATTCCTCAGAGTCCTCCTACACGGACACAAGAGAGGGAGGCACCAGTCGAAACTCGCACCGCGCACGACTACAGAAACATTTCTCCTTTTTTAGACATTCGTGTGTATACCACAGTGTTGTTTTTTGTAAAAAACAAACGTCCGTTTGCCTGCACTCTGCAGTTTGTCAACTGTCAGAGTGAGTCAGACTGGCAGACTGTCCGTGTCTCGAATCTTAGTATGTTCAATTTTCAGAATATCATTTTTTTTTGTTGGTTGGCCTTCCGCCTTCTTTCCTTCCGCCTTCCGGCCTCCCAGGGCTCGTGGCTCTCTATCAGCCTATCTCTCTACAGTCTACCCTGACAAGTATTTCTCTCATAGCTCATAGCGCCATAATTATTAATTTGGTGCTTGTTGGCTTGCCACTTTGTACCTGGTCCTGGAGGCCTGGAGGCCTGGACTCCTGGACTACTCTGGAGTCCATAACTCCAGTCACCAGTCCAGCAGAACATCCTCAGCGACAGGGGAGTGGACATCAGGCTTCAGCGGATCAGCCATTCAGCCTACACTCTAGTCTCTACGTCCTACACTACTCTTTCTTTATTATAAACTTATTATGTTCCTTGACCTCTGACTCTGTGATTTTATTGTTTTTTAAGCGTTTTAAAGTATATCAGGGGCAAATTGACCGTGAATTTTTTCCAAATTCGCACCTGAGAAATTGACCCTGTTTTAACTGAATAGGCGATTTGAAACTGTTCACAACTGAAATTCGTGAGTTAGGCCGCCTCCAAAACTGTACCTATTTGTAAACTCATAGACAATATTTATGATAAACTTTGAACGTAAACACTATTTTTATTTATTGTTTTGCGTTTTAATGGGAAGCGTACTGAGGTAAGCTCTGGAGTCTCTCACTCTACTGGTCTCTCACTCTCTCAGTCCTTGCTTATTTCGTTTTTTTCTGAAATAGGAATAGGGCTGTTTGTTTATTTTAAGAAAATAAGTTCTATTCTAGAATTCTCTTTGTTGAAAAAATACATAGCCTTCTATTTTCAGAAGGCTATGAAAAATAATAATAATTGAAAAACATACTTTTTATTAATGATTTTTTTCAATGCCCAGGTTATAGATATATTTATATATATATATATATATAACTATTCACATACTATTTACAAACTAGGTTTATAAATATGTATACTATTTGGATTTTTTATAAATAAATATATACGAGTAAAAACAAGTGCAGTCTCGTGTGAAAGGGCATGCTTCAAAACAAAAAAAAAAAGGGATTTTTTTTTGATGAAATAGTCCCTTTCGAAATATATATAATATATAAATATAAAATGAATATTTACAAAACAATTCCTACTACTAACAGGACTCTAGGACTAAACCAGTATTAAGATATGGTATTTTGTTTTGTAATATGTATACAATAAAATAAGATGCTCGTAAATGGCGTTATGGACTTGTGGCGTCACCGTTTCCTCTCTCACTCTAGGAGAGTGTAGTGAGTAGAGAGATACTAGCTATTTACATAGTACATACCCTACTCTGCTACTCTGGTTGTAGAGAGACTGATGAGAAAGAGCAGTACATACTGCAGTAGAGACTAGAAGAGAGAGAGAGAGAGAGAGCCAGAGCCCAGAGGCGACTAGAGACTGCGAGTGTCACCGACTCAACGGCTCAAGTCTCAACCCCAGTAGGCCCCTGCACACAGGCCCGATGTCCCGCACACATGAAGGCCGCACCTGCGCACCGTCGAGATGTATATGCCACAGCCTCACACGGCTCATTGTAAAAAGAATCTTGTTTATTATTTGTTACAAAATAAATATATGTAAAATAAAATGTAAATCAAATGTAAAAGGATTAAAAAAAAAACACATGCTCGTCAGCGTGTTCAATGGACAGTCGCCTTGCGCCATTTTTTTTTAATTTATCGGTCGGACAGCCGTACTAGAGAAAAACAAAACCCTGTGATCCAATGGGTGTCACGAGCTTCAAAGATTTGTTCTATACCCATACTTTATTGGGTATGGGAGGACGTCTTTGGTCTGTAAATAGCAAAATCAGAGTCGTATTTACAATTGTCAACTGTTGTGTTGAGAATTTTTTCCAAATCTTGGCTTGCAAATATTTCAGGTATTTAACTGCGTGGATGTGAAGATACAATACCAGAGCTGTTCTACAACAACATAATTTAAAGCTTTATACTAACGACTATGAGTTCTTCTCGTTCCGGCCTTATGGGCATTTGTAAGACTGGTCTCTTCGTGGCACTTTTGTCCTTGTCATTGGTAGCAAATTCAGCCACAGGTGCTACAGTTGCTGGTAGACAAGTTGCTGGTAGGTGACCATGTCCATGCACTACGTTTACGGCTACTTATTCTCTCCCGGATAATTACGTACAATGCTTCTTGGTGACAGTTTTGTGCCTTTTATTGTCAATGAGCGATTGAATTTTATATAAGTATATTTAGACCTTTGTCTCACTATAATTTCGATTCTATTATCACGAAGAATGCGACGGCCATGGACACCTACACGACGAGGAGTGCCATTGCGACGAGGGATATGAACTAGCAGTCGACAATGTCCGTTCGTGCGTAATGGCCGGTAGGTGACCAATCCCATGCAATACGTTTTCGGCTACTGATTCTCTCCCGGATAATTACTTACAACGCTTCTTGGTGATAGTTTTGTGCTTTTTATTATGAGCGTATTCTAAGTTTAAATAAGTATATTTAGACCTTTGTCTCACTATAATTTCGATTCTATTGTCACGAAGAATGCGGCGGCCATGGACACCTACACGGTGAGGAGTGCCATTGCGACGAGAGATATGTACTAGAGGCCGACAATATTGGTATGTGCGTTATGGTGTATGTTGATTCGGAAGCAACAGCACTTATGACGGAGACAGATCATGAAACCGACGACCATGAGCATGAAAGCGACGACCATGAGAGTGAAACCGACGACCATGAACACGAAAGCGACGACCATGAGAGTGAAACCGATGACCATGAGCACGAAAGCGACGACCATGATCACGAAGATGAGTGCAGCGGTCACGGCCACACACACGGCGATGATTGCCATTGCGACGAAGGATATGAACAAGCCGCCGACGAAACGACTTCATGCGTATTGATCGAGGCATCAGATGTTTCTATGGAGTCGACGGAGGATGTACATGAGACTGAACACGAAGACCATGATCACGAGTAAGTGTGCAGCAGTCATGGCCACACACACTACTGTGTGTGTCATTGCGACGAAGGATATGCATCTGTCACCGATGAGACATCGCGCGAATTGATCCAGGTGTGAGAACTTACAAACGTAACAAGGGTGGTGGGTGACGTGCGGAGACAATAGAGGATGGACAACAAGACCATTATCCAAGATGAAGAATGCAACGATTATGTGCACGCGCGCGTCTGTATAAGTGATGTTGCGGGTACTAATCCGTCAACAATGAGACTTTATGCGACAAGGGCACATTTCTAAGTATTTCTTTACCGAAACCTACACGTAACCTAATTAGAAATAAAACATTTCTTTTCCTCAAAGCGATTTACACACATACATACACACACATACACATACACACACACGCATATATATATATATATATATATACTATGTATATATATATATATATATATATATATATGTATGTATGTATATACACGCACAACAACACGCACACATATATATACATATATATATGTATATATATATATATATATATACATGTACATGTACATGTACATATTTGTATACGTATACGTATACATATATATATATACACATGTATACATATACATACATACATACATACATATATACATACACACATTCACACACACACACATACATATATATAGATACATATAGTATATATATATATATGTATATATATACATATATATATAGATATATTATGAACGCTACTGTCATTTCAAATTGTGTAGTTCTAGTACGATCGAGCTATATTTTTTAATTGTAGTAACTAGTGAGCTTCATGGCTTGCTGAATTCAGAGACGCAAGCATAGTGTCACGGAAAAAAACGGAGTCAAATGATATCAATACTGACTTTATTTCGAACGTGCCTCACAAAAGAGCAAATGAGATTCGAAGTAAACATACTTTCATTTACGTGTTTGAAAGCAGTTGGCCAGGAGTATTTTAATCGTATGTTTATTGGCAACTAATCAATTGACTGTGATGTCGAAGTTGCACACGTGCCCGCTTTATCATTTGTGTATGGAGTCTAAACGTTCTCTATCTGTGTGGCCCGAGACGTGACAAAAAATTGAATTGCAATGCATACTGACTTTTGTGTGATTAACATAGCTCAATGTACGATTTCAGACAGTACATTGCTCCTCAGATTTCTGAAAATACGTGCACAAATTTATAATGATGGTTGTCGGGAGGCTCACCTCATCCTTCACAGCCAGAGAAAAAAAAACCCCCATATAGATAAGAGGCTTCGAGATCTACAGATAACACCCGCGACACGGTTCGTGCGGAATTGACTTCTTGTTCATGAATTGTTTTTGGATTTTTTCCTCCTCGTCGCGTTCTCTTCCTTCTCTAACTGTTTCTCCATGGTACGCCACTTGTCTTTCAGATTCACCTGAGTGCGTTTACCATTGAAATATACTTTTTCTATCTGTTGATTGAATAAAAAGGAAAGGACAACCGTCCAGTTATTGTACCAGGAATTACTATATATATAAAATTGGGAACATGTTTAGGACAATCTATACGATATAGAGTACAAACTTTATGCGCGAGTACACTGCTCCCCCACATGAACATAACCAGAGAAGACGCTTTACGTCTAAATGAGAACGCTGATAAAGATTGAGCTGTGGAATAAAAACTAATCAAGGACACATCGATACGTCAGCGAAAGTATGGGTATATGTAGAACGTTCTTTCCCGTCCATCAAGGTAAATTATGTCATTGATGTCTGATAATCATATGGTATAGGAGGCGGGAGTGGGCTATGTAGAACGTTCTTTCCCGTCCATCAAGGTAAATGGAGTCGCTGATGTCTGATGATCATATGCTATTGGAGACGGGAGTGGACTGTGAAGAATTTCTTATATATCAAATTCCTTTACCCTGAAAAATGATAGGTTAATCACCCCAACTGTTGATTAAGAGTACTCTTGTGATGCTGCGAGAATCATTTCTATACAAAAAAATTAAGAATACGTTCATTCACACTGCACGGAATTTGCGACCGCCCGGCGTACGCGTTTAAACGCCTTGGCATTTAATGCTAATATGCACGCGCGACAACAAAGGGATCTGGCTCATACCTTGGCCCAACTTCTTGTGTACAGTCTCATCCCTTCCCTGCACGCGTTTAAACGCCTTGACATTTAATACTAATATGCACGCGCGACAACAAAGGGATTTGGCTCATACCTTGGCCCAACTCCTTGGATACAGCCTCATCCCTTCCCTGAGTAGATCCATCTCAGCTTCTGTCCATTTGCGATATCCTGAGTTGCGCTTTCCGGCAAAGATACTGCTCCTTAGCGCAAATTGCCTATACGAGGGGTATTGGGTTCATGTGACGTGAATAGACAGACACACGAACACATGTGTAGTTTTTTCTCACTCACGTATATTTAAAAGTCAAATGATAAGTCACGTGCCTACTATTAAAGAGTAATAAGAGAAGCACGACGCCAACTTAAAATGGAACTGTGGCAACAACAACACGTGCTCGCCTTCGGAATGCATCGGACGGTGTGGCAAAGAGAATTGAAAAGATAGCGGACGACATTTGGGAATACAAGGTCATGTGCCATCGTAGTCTTCCGTGACGTGGAGTACTGTGTGAATACAAGCGCACCCACACGTATGGCCTTATGAAGGCGGCGTGTGCATCTTTTCCAAAACTCTCAACCGGAACGATCTGGTCTCCAGCGTGCCATAGACACGCCAAGTCATCATCCGCTTATGTATCTGCACACACACCGTCTATAACAAAGCGCATACATACCTCGCATCAATAGGTGATGGGATGCCCTCATCATCCGTGTCGAATCTGGGATTTGGTACCTGGCTGTCGCCCGGAACAGATGCGTAGAGATTAGATGCAAGTTTCCTCCTCTCAGGCGCAGTGGTCTTACCATCATCTGTACCTATCCGCTGACCTCTGCCGACGCTGGGTTTCACACTTGAGCTCGCACGCGCATTGGGCAGTGGCGAGTATTCCCTCGAACGTCCGCTGTCACTGTCGTCGACCCCTCCATCACTCACGAGGGCCGTTTTGTCCTTGCTATGGTCTTTGCCCACCCCGGTAGTCCGCGTACTTCGCCTCTGAGTGGTTTGTGGGACGCGTATCTTCGACCTCAGTGCATGTCCCCCTATCACATCTGGATCATCATCCTCGCCGCTGTGCTGGCTCTCTCTATCGTCGGGGGTCGGTGCCTGGTGTGCACGTGTTGTTATGCGTTTATCTTGATTTGGTGCGCGTGTGGACGTGGCTGAGGCTGAGTGGGTGCGGGCGCGAGGCGATGAGGTGGCGTGTGCACGTGAATGCGATGATGAATCAGCTGCCGTACGTTGCCACGGCGGGGACGGCAGGTTGTTCAGCGCCCTCCAATACCTTCGCATCTCTGCATTGGCAACGGTGGTGTCTGCATACGCACCGACGTGCTGCAACGGCGCGGAGCGTGTGTCTTGCCCGTCTGTGGTGCCGCGCAGCAACACGCGCTCCTGCTGCGCGAGCAGTTGGCGCTGTTTTCTGATCGCTTCCAGCTTGATTTTCTTCTCCATATCCGCAAAGTACGACGGCGGCAGCACGGCGTCGTCGTCCACATCCACCACCAGACTCTCCGCCAGGTCTTGCGAGCGGCTGATGTCCGTGTCGGGTTCTTGTCGCGGCCTCTTCCGTCTGTGTGGCTTAGCACGTGCACTCTCCCCGGCTATCTCTCCACCCTTGGCCCTGTATTCCTTCAGCCGGTTGCCATCCGCACCCACGAGAACATCCAGAGGATCCACCAGATCGCGCGCCAGTCGGTTGCGAGACTGGGTTAGGTCTAGTACAGCTATAGCCGTTTGGCCCATGGCCAGTGGTATGCTCTCGTCGTCACTGCTTGTATCACCCGACGCATTGTCAGTGATCTGGATGTGCTAATAGGCCGAGTAGAGACCCCGATTCACAATAAAATAAGGAAAGCGAAGCAGTTAATGGTGGCGCACTGATTCCAGCTGGCGGGATAAAGAAGGCGCTAGCTGTGTATATCGACGGTTGTGTGTACACAATTCTCCACACAGGATGGGGTGGATGGGCCTGAATTCAAATACCACTGTTGCTATTGCCGTGTAGCATGCATGTGCGATGAAGCGTGCACTACTACAGCAATAGGGTAACCATAGCAACCGATCGTTTAGCAGAGTGAATGGCAGAATCGGCAGAAGATACAGTGTGGCAGACGATGATAATGAAATGCAAAGCAATTGGAATACTAAATCCAGATAAAAGTCGCACACAAAGTAGTAGTGAAACATACGTCTTTCTGGGGCTGTGCAAGTCTCGAATTGGTGGGTATGTGCGTTCCGTTCTGTATGGCCACATCCACTTCCACACTGACTCCCACACCGCTCTACAATTGGAAAAGTGCGATCATGGCACATTACTGATGTGCAAGGCTGATGTGCAAGGCTGAAAGAAAAGGAAGACCCAAGCGTGCCATGTTCGTGTTTGTTGTGACGATTGGACTTCTGTATGTATGCATGTGTGTTCGGACCTATGGTGGATCGTTGTACATACATAGCAAGAAATGATAATGATGCAGAGGTCATTTTCAAGATTTCAGCACAAGTAGTGAATATAACGCTATAGAACGATTAATGCTGCGAATGAGTCAGATCTCATGTCTCACATAGAGTCTCACTCAGTAATGTCCGGGACGTTCGAACGCAGACATGCTGTTTAGCAAACCAGAAAGACTTACAGGGGCAAAGGTGTGAGGACATGCCTCACGAGAGGTACACACAAATATAACATAGAGATAGGACCGTCTGTTACGTTGTACATCGTGTACTCATCGATCAAATGATCGGTACGCAGGTAACTCGACGAGAGTGACTACGCCTGAGGGCACGTAGAGCCACGCCGATTATTGATGCTGATAAAGCACTTCGAGCTCAGTGTAGAGACCGTATATCCAAGCATTTGGATGTACAGTCAATCATATAGTGCACACCGTGGGTACAGTTTGCGTACTAACGAGAGACTGCGGATATAGTAAGGCGAGCTCATTGAGGGCAAGAGGAGAGTCGATCAGTACGAAATTAGCAACTCACAGCGATGGCGCACTCACCATCACAGCCTACTTGTGCCGTCGCACTATGCGTGTACGAACTAGGATCACCCATGTACCAGTACGCAACAAGAGGCCTACAGTACGAGCACTCAATAACATGACACCATTATCACACATTGGCGGTGTCTATCGTAGCCAGTCCTTGCATATTGAATCTATAGTGGATCTATGGTATTGAATCTATAGTGGATCTATGGCATTGAATCTATAGTGGATCTATGGCATTGAATCTATAGTGGATCTATGATATTGAATCTATAGTGGATCTATGATATTGAATCTATAGTGGATCTATGGTATTGGATCTATGATATTGTATCTATAGTCAATCTATAATATTGAATCTATAGTGGATATATAATATTGAATCTATAGTGGATCTATGATATTGAATCTATGGTGGACCTATGATATTGAATCTATAGTGGATCTTTAATCTTACACTACCACCACGGCGAAGGGCGGGTTACTTAAACTGGGGGTGTCCGTTTTCTGAAACATACCGGATCTCCAGCGTCTTTAGAGACCTCGCTGGTTGCTCGTACGGATTTGCTGCCGTAGGACATGCCGAAACAGCCCGCATTTATATCATCGTCAGTCCGCTGTTGGTAGTAGATTGGAGAGGTTGCATGCAAGCGCGATGCCTGTTTAGTAAAGGCGAAGAGTGAGGACTTCGTTTCCGCGATAGGAAACCCTCCGCAGATGTCGGTGATGTATAGAATGTCTGGCAGCTATAGCCTCTATCACAGGCTAAATTAGGTCATACACGTGTGCTATTGTAATGTAAAACGAAAATAGCCCAAATCCCGGTTCAGGAGTATGTTGCAGCTTTAATCATTTTTTGTTCTACCTGGGCTTTCGTCCGCTCCGGTTGTTCAGATACAGATTAAATCATCACCAACTGATCGTCTCACTGGTGCTACCGAATGTACGGACACGATCTGTTCTCGCGTACCACCCGTGAATGCTATCTGCAGACAGACTGGCACATGTGTATCTATCGCCTGGATGCGCAGTATCTATCGCTTGATCCGTGTTTAGTTGAATAGCCTTGCAAATAGAGACACAAACGTCCACACAGATGCAAGCCATGACTCGCACGCTCTATGATGTATGGTCACTGTCTCATGCGTTTAGTGCAACACGCATGATTAAGCGCGCCAATGGTACACACTCTCAGGCGTACCATTATAGTAACATGAGATCGGAAATGGATGCATGCATGCATGCGTGCTCGTTGTCGCCGTACAGCATGTAGACGCAAACTAACAAGTAAATAGCTATAATACATCAATGCCCATACCGGGACAATCCGGTATTGCGTTATATGTTTTGCGTGTACGCACTGACGCAAGGCCCCACTACACGGTACGCAGCACGGGAACGTAGTCCACAAAATGAAGTGTAAGTATTATGTATCGCATACACACTCTTGCGAGTATGTGTGTAGCGGTGCACCTATGAGTGCGAGGTGCCAAAGACCAGAGAAACGGCTACTGGCTGTACAGCTTTACCGCACTCCTCGATGCTCATGCAACGTGATCGGAAGTACTTACAATCAGTCCAGAAGCGTATATATATATATATATATATATATGTGTGTGTGTGCGTGTGCGTATGTGCAAGTGTATGTGTAAGTGGAGTGTGCGTATGTATCGTTTGGGGTAAAGTCTGGCTATGAGAATGAATTCAAACATTCATCCATTAGTGTCATTAGCTCGCACTGAGCCGGCAAGCACCATCGATCTAAAACATATAAGCCCCATTTGATAAGATGTGCCAGGCTGCAGGGTAGCAACACCCCACATAACAGTATGCCACACGACAACTCCTCACGTGGCCTACGACTTGTCCTTCGACACGCTTGGTGCAGATGTTTTGTCGGCTGTCACACCCTTGCTCTTACCCAACCGTTCCTCAATCTCTACCGCACTTCGATATACCTTTGCTAGGTGAGCGAAGTCTCCCGAGACTTTGTATTCGGCACGTGGCATTAGCGGCGCGATATTCTTCATGAAGAATACCTTAAACCAATGGGAGTCTTCGTCTTCCGAGTACTTGCGCACGAATTCAAACGACTGGAATTTGTCGCCAAAGATGAATGCAAGAAAGGCGGAAAATGATTAGACAAAGAGACGCCCGTGTGGTAACAACTCTCACAAGGAAATCAGAGGCTTAAGCTCAAGTCCAAATAATAGTTGAAATTAGAGCAGGTCTGGCTTATCAGTCTAGATGCCTGGAAATGCGTCGCAGAGCCAAAGAACAGGCTGAGATATGCAGCTATCAACGGTTCCTAGACGCACACTACTACGGTCAATGACACATGCAATTGTATCCAATACTATATGCTTTGTGCTGACAGGGTACTGAATGCAGATTCAGACACTCACTGAAAAGGCCTCGATCACAGACGTACGCCCAACTGCGAAGTGCGCACGGTACCCACCTCTTTATCTCGTTGTGAGGGTTCCTTCAGCATCGCCACCTTGAGTGAATCGTAAATATTCCTCTCTTCGCTGTGAATCTCTAAGACGTAGGGCAAAGCACCACACCCAGCAACGAACCAATTAGTAGAATGCCTTGTGACACAGAAATGGTACCGTGATAGCCTAATCAAATGAATTTCTTTATACAAAACCAACGCATTGCAACAGAACAAACTATCCCGTAAATAAACGAAGACCCAGTGTCAGATTGAAACACAGTTCTACTAGACGTTTGAATACCACTATCTACAATATAGTCAAATGATAAGAAATATATTCGACTGGTGCTAATCATGAGTGGAAAATCGAGCAAGACGATAGGAAAGTCGATGCGAGTACTCGCCGATCGAGTGGACCCAGCCTTGATGTGTCAATGAAATATAAAAAGACTAGTTGCGGCACAGCGATTGAAATTTGGGCTTGACATAAGCTGGGTCCGTGCGTGTTGGCATAAGAGCATATATATATATATATATACATATACATATATAAATAGACAGATAGACAGATAGACAGATAGACAGGTAGATAGATATATCACATCCATCAAACTGCAGTGCATACAGTACCAGCCACCCAGGAGGAGCACACACACACACGCACACCAGTGACAACAAGACATCCACCAGCGACTATAATAATTGCTAAAAATCAATAGAACTCGACATACCTGTTGGTGGGAAGTATTTGTCAAGTGTCTTCTGCCCATTCGTCGCGTTCGATTCGACGAACACTAGTTTCGCCCGTAAGTGAAGTAGCATCTATGTGCGTATAGGGGGCACAGAAGACATCAGAAAGGATAAAATTCGGGTTTAGCAATTGATACGCAAACCCTTAGCATCATATGCTTTCGATTTCTAAGCCAGGGCTTATCGGTCGCTGATACAGAACAACGGACGACATCACGACCACAAAATAGCCAGTCAAGGAATACACGCGGTCACGAGGTCGTAGTTGTGCGAATGCGTTTGCTATCAAGAGTGTAGACAACAAGCGTGCCACTACGGTATGGTGAACATCAGTGTATGAGAAGGCACGCACATGAAGTGATCGGGACACACAGGCGGACATGACTGTAGAAAGACTTCGATATAGCGTGCAGCTCCTGGATTTGCTACAGGCGTATTGGATCGTGGATGGGAAGAAGTGCTATCACGCAATGCCAGCCCATAATAAGCACAGAGCAATGAATTGTGTTTGTTGTCATGGCGCCTTCGACTAAAACCACGCCGCCAAGTTATACGCACCACCGTATAATGAATCTACACCAACCTGACAGACTTCTCGCAGTTCCACTCCCACATGTTCACAGGAAAGCTGCACAACACGCACTCACCAAAACTAACTCAGGGATGAATAACACCCCTTCGCCATTCAGCAGTTTCTGGTTGCTGCCCTGCAGCAGCTCGTAGGCCTCTCGTAACAGTTCTTTGTCTTTCTTTGTGGGCTTGTACTTGGCATCCTTCTGCGTTATGGTGGTGCAGCAAGAGCGAGATCACAGGGGAGACGTCTTTAACGATTGCTATTTAAATTGGAGCAAACGTTACTGAATACATAAATTGGGCGCACGCGGATAAGATAATCAATTCTGGTACTTAAATTCGATTTGGATAGGCAATCGCAAGACGCTTGAAGAACAAATGAGACATACTCATCAAGGACCTTAAAAATTGGTAATTTTGATGACATGGGCCGACACATACATGAGAAACATACGTATCTGTAAAGCACGCATGCGATAACCGTATGGCGAAGAAAACGTTCGCGTGTAGTGGGCCGAACTAGCTACTTATAGTATCACAATGTAATATATCGATCAATGCTATGCCTCGAGCCATCGCGAATAGACGCTTAAATTTTATGCAGACATGCCACGTAAAACATGATGTATACAATAGCATAGGCGAGCGCCGGACACACGTACCTGACTGATACCGCTCTGTATAGATATATATATATATATATATACATATATATATATAAATATATATATATATATGCATATATATATATATATATACATATT